CTCTCTCTCTCTCTCTCTCTCTCTCTCTCTCTCTCTCTCTCTCTCTCTCTCTCTCTCTCTCTCTCTCTCTCTCTCTCTCTCTCTCTCTGAGTTTTTCTTCAAATGGCAGTAAGGCTAGGCTACCAGCCGGGCGGTTCGGGTCACCTATTTTCTTGGGCGGGGCGGCTGTGCAAGGACCAGGGAAGGTGCAGACAAAAAAAGCAAGAATAAAAAAAAATCCGGGCCGGCCGTGCAAGGACCAGGGAAGGTCCAGGCAAGAAAAGCAAGAATAAAAAAAATCCGAAAAAAAAAAAACATGTTATGCAGAAAAATAAACTGAACAATTTTTGCCTCGAAATTCTTTACCAAATTTAAAATAAAAAATAACATTAAAACCTAGGCTGTTTTTCCGGGCGGCACCCAACTTGTGCCCGGATACACACCCAGGTGCCCGGCCGGGCAGGGTTCCGGACAGCCCCCCCCAAAAAAACGAAAGTCCAAAATTTCCAGAAACAAAAATATGTTGCGTAGAATTGCAATACACACAACGTTTGGCTGAGGGTCACATCAGAATTCCTCACCGAATCGGAGATAAAAAAAGAAAATAACAAAATCACACTAAGGCACCCCCCTTCAAACCCCCTTAGCCCTTCTAAAACAAAATTTTACCCCCCTTCCCCCACCCTTGACAGCCAACCCTCATGAATGACAAGAAATGAAAAGAGCCCTGATTTGGGGTCCTCTGGGAGAGCGCAGAAAGGTTGAAAATAATAATAATAATATATATATTTACATTTTATTTTTATTTTTTTTGTGCATGCCCGGGTACCCCGGGCGTCACGCCCCGGTGAAAATCTTCCTAACTTCTTTTCTTGGCCCGGCCGGGCAAGTTGTCCCGGGCAACTCTGGTAGAGCCTAGCTGTAAGGTTGCTTTCTTGAATTAACTCTCGCCATGTGCATCCTTTTTTTTTTTTCGTGGAAAACCCCTCCTGTGCTAGGGGTGCTGATAGGAGCAGACACCGCTAGCACCTGGGGGGGTGCTCCATCTATTGGTGGGGAGGAGCACCTGCTGGAAAACGGGTCCAACGTCCCTTGTACAGAATGAAAATGTATCCTAAATTTCCAACTCCTGAATTTTTCATATCTGTCAAGTTTCAACCCAGAAGTTGAAACATCAAATGCACTAAGTCTTATCCAAGGTTTGGGCTCTCAGGTTTTCGGGAGAGTGATCCTCGGCCTGCTGCCACGTTGACCCCACACTGCGTCTGACTCATTGTTTGATTACTTCAATCTGCTCAACGACACTTGTACACTCTCTGAGTCATTGATTACTTCAACCTCCTGCCAATGGTTTGGAGCGTGGTCCGCTACAGAATTCAATCTTGGTGAGCTAATCTACTTGCTTCTTGAAATGAAAAGCATTGACGAATATACTAATCGCCTTCTCTGGATAGACTTTCCAATCTTTCCTAATTTGCTTGGATGGTATTTAGGGGGGGTGGATGGAAATCCACCCACCCCCGTAATCCACGCTAGCTCGCCACGGTAGCGGAGTCTTGGTTTACCACCGTTTATGTCCTTTCCGTTAACTACTTGGATGTTTCAGTTCACTAGGTCAATTTCGGGCGTTGCCGCACCGCACACGAAACAAAAAATGAAACGAATGTATCTTCCCTCAGAAACGGCCAGGTTCATCGGTTTGCTATAAATAGTGACGAGTGTATTTTGCTACCTTTGGTGGGCACATGCACTCGTTTCGTTTTCGTTTCCCGTGCCGTGCGGCGAGACCCTTCGTTACGCTATTGGCATGTTGGTTTGGTTTGGTTTGGTTATTTGAAGTTATTTCTATCTGTATCTAATTTAGTATTTACTGGTAGGGGGATAGTTAACCGACCAACACTTGAACAGGCAATCCGGGCTCAAGACTTTACATCCAGGGTAATTTCGTTAGTGTTGCGGCTCCCACCGCTGATAAAAAGTAATTAAAAAAATAACTTCGTTAGGGTAATTTCGTTATGTAAAGGGAGGTGAAAAGGGAAATAACTTCAACTAAGGTTCAGATGTGACAGGCTTTTGCGGCTCCCACCGCTGATAAAAAGTAATAAAAAAAATGAAAAAAAAAAAAAAAAAAAAGTGATGCTGAGAGTGGGGGTACTTGGTGCGGAGAACGTTCCCCAGGAAAAAGAACCGCACTGATGCCAACAGAAAAGAAGGGATACCCGCAGCCCTAACGTGAGTTTTTTTTTTTTTTTTTGACCACAAGTACATCCGAAAAAGCAGAATGAGCCTCTCCTAAAAACATAGGAGGCCATGAACTGCCGATTCATTTTATCGACGGTCCATGGCCTCCAAATTTTTAGGAGAGGCTCAGTCTGCTTTTTCGGATGTACTGGTGGTTTAAATTAAGAAAAAGAACACACTGTAGGGACATAAGAGGTATAAAAATTGAAAAAAGGAAAAAAGACTACGCTGTCACGGTGCAGAGAACTTTCCCCAGGATAAGGAACTGCACCGGTGCCAACAGAAAAGAAGGGATACCCAGCCCTGCGGTTAAGGAAGAGAAAGAACGTACTGTAAGCTGAAAAGAGGTATATTAAAAAAAAGGTATAAAAAAGAAAAAGAAAAAAAGACAAGCTGGGGAGTTCAACAGTGCGGACTTTCCCCAGCTTGTCTTTTTTTCTTTTTCTTTTTTATACTCGCACCAACAGAAAAGAAGGGACACCCCCAGCCCTATGTTGAGCCTTTTTGTTTGTTTGTTTGTTAAATGAAAAGAACACACTCTAAGGGGAAAGAGGTATAGAAAAGAAAAATAAACGAAGCTTCATTCGCCTCCTCAAAACCCGCCATCATAAAGTTCATGCTCCCAAAACATACGGATCTGATCCGTAGATTCCGTACCAACGATGGTAAGGAATCGGGAGTATAGAAAAGAAAAATAAACGAAGCTTCATTCGCCTCCGAGTATAACATCTGTCTCTTATACACATCTAGATGTGTATAAGAGACAGGTACACATCTTGCGCCCAAGAACACAGACATGGTGGGCCTTGCACCTTTCAGAAAACAACAATGAAACAGCCGTTTCATCGACGTTACAATCATTAAAATATCACGTATACCTCGATAGTGGATTATAAGTTAAGACTGTCTCAATTGTGGACCTACGCATGTGGATGGAAAAAGATTGTTCAAGTGACAATCTACGACACGCATGCACACACACAAATGGATCATTGCATCTGGTAGAAAAGGGATTGTTCTGGTGACAGACCACACACACACACACACACACACACACACACACACACACACACACACTGTGCTCTCCTTTGCTGCTCGACGGGGACTTGGGTGCCGTGCTTGGATTCGTGCTCATCATTGATCCGTGGATCCGTGCTTCGATTCGTGCTGTGTCCTGTCTCTTATACACATCTAGATGTGTATAAGAGACAGGCGGTACTTACCTGGGTGCGATAGCCGTGCTCCACACTGGCGACCTGCAGAACAACAACAACAACAACAACAACACCAACAACAACAACAACAACAACAACAACAACAACAACAACAACAACAATGGCGACAAGAACAACAAGAACAACGGCGACGAGAACAACAAGAACAACCACAACAACAACGACGACAAGAACAACAAGAACAACGGCGACGAGAACAACAAGAACAACCACAACAACAATGGCGACAATGGCGACAAGAACAACAAGAACAACCACAACAACAACGACGACAAGAACAACAAGAACAGCAACAACAATCAACAACAACAACTACGGGAATCGTTGATGGCAACAACACCGATGATGGGGACAACGGCAAGAAGCACAACGACAATAACAACACAAGTGACAGCAAACAAGGAAGACAAACTTGCTTTCCAATAACTCACTCCAAGTGACACGAAATGAGGAAGACAAAGAATTTCAGAAGGATGCAGTAGCTTTAACTGGCACCATTTGGAGGAAGGGACAAAAGAGCAATCACGCATAATAAGAGTGAGTGGAAGGGGCCTGCACTTGCACTCCCGACCTGAGAATTTGCATTCTCTGATGTTCTGATACTCTAGACCAGTATTTGGCCAGATGACGCATTGGACTGGTTTCTATGCGTAATGGCCTACTTACTGCTAGACTGGTCTCTATGCCTAATGACAGGCTTTGTTAGGCAGCTCCACAGTCACTCCCAAGGCCAACCCTACAGTCTAGAACAGGTATACTATACATACTATTACATAGTTATTTTAATATTTTCGGATTTTCGCATATTAACAAAAAAAATAGCTTCTTGTGCATTTTTCCTTTCGTAAATCCTTCTCCTCCATGAGTGTACTACTTGTACCCAAGGTGCAGAATCTGATGCCCAAAAGTGGTTTGGATTGCAACAATACACAACAATGCCTTGTACAACTTATGTATGATATGGAGATTCCGGACCTTGCATTTGTGCATGGACGTATGGATGCCTGCATAAAAGGTACATCACTCTTTCATATGGATGATGGCTAACATGAATAGGCTGGTGATCTGAAAGGGTGGTTTTGGATTTGGTATGGCACTACTAGGAAACCTTTTAAGCATTGTACTAGAGTACTGTGCAGAATTATGGGACCAGGTCCTTTGCCTTGCAGAAAACATCACTCTGGATCTCAGGGACTACAACCCCAGCAAACAGACCTGCTGACATACACGTAGAGAGAGAGGGTGTGTGTAAGAGCAAGAGCGAGAGAGAGAGAGAGGGGACGCGCGCGCGCGCGAGAGAGAGAGAGAGAGAGAGAGAGAAAGCAAACAGACCTCTTCAGGCAACACAGCCTGGAAGTGGTATCCTTCCAAAAGGTGAACAAATATGTTCATACCTGGTTCAACTTGCTCAGTTGAAATAAGACAAAGGAAAAGGGAGTTTAAAGGACTGGAAATAGAATGATCAGGCATGAGAGATTGCAGAAAACGGATTGCCTCCAACAGTAAAGTTCTCCGCCACAAGATTATTAATTTATTAAGCCTTTAGTGAGCACATTTCTATTTTTTGCGACCAACCAGAGTCACGGACCCTGTCAGAAAAAAAAAAAAACAGTTCACCTCATGGCAGTACAGGATATTGTTTGTGTTATTTTGACCATTAGATGAGACACAGGATGATGAACCATCTCATCAAAGTACTCACAGTGACAGTGACCCCAAAAGTCAAGGGGATAACTCACTCACCTGCATCCGCTGAGTCACCATGTCTGCAGGCACTGTCACAATGCAGGATGCTGCGGACCCTGCTGCAGCAGCAAAAGGTCGAGGCAACCCAATCGACTTCAGCGTCTCAAACCTGTCATCGAAGCAGGTAAAAGTGGGAGTTCCACAGAAACACATCAGAAACAAGCTACATCTACCCCCCCCCCCCCCCCC